TACTACTACTACTACTACTACAATAAATAAAAACAATACTAATCAAAGTAATATCGGTGCTAGTCTTAAAAATACTGAGATATTCAAGACCAATAACTGATAATAAAAACCGTACCAGTAACTACAAGAGTAATAGTATTACGAACAATGCTGATAATACTAATAACAGTAGTAATCATATTAGCAGCAGGAGTAGGCTATAATCAACGACATCCAGGGTTCACTCAGTCAGCAGAAGATCCTTCAGATGAGATCGAAGCCGGCAATGCCTTTAGTCAGGGGAGGCCAGCAGAGGTTGTGGCTCCAGGTTTGGGCTCAGGTTTCAGAGATCACGATTTTAGGGTAAGGACTGTAGGGCCTTAGGGATCCTGCTTGAGGTAATTGCTATGCGCACCAACGGCCTTAGAACCCGCAGCTGACTTCCAATCACCAGTGCGGCCAAAGNNCCGTTTCAGGGTAGCTCGACGGCCTGTGGGTTAGTCCCATTCTCTGGGGGGCAGTCATCCCATCTTCGTCCAAAACGACAACTCCCTACTAATGTTAGGATCATTTCAATAACCCCCCCGTTGATTATACATCTCGATCGCCAGAACTCAATTATCAGCGCCCCGCCCTAAGTATAAACACTCGATCCCGGGAACTCAATAGTAATCCCGGCCCGGGTTCCTAAAAGAACACTTGAGGCCCTTTTGTCAAAGAGTCAGCGAGCGTAGTAGTACTGAGACCCCCCCGTCTCAATCGTCAATGCCCCCCTGCCTGGGCCTGAAAACAATCGAGGGAGATGGGGGGGGGGTGGGGGGTTTATCAAAATGAAGTCACCTTAGAAAAACCCTCAACCCTGAACTTTAAACCCTGAACACATACTCGTAAACCCGAGCCCCTGAACCTAAACCCCTACACCCCTGAATCCCCAAGCGCCCGAGCCAAAGTGCTGAAAGAGCCCAGGGCATTCCTCGAACAACTTCTTTGGCTTGCCGTTGTAATACAGGGGCCTTAATCATGATAGCAATAATCATAGCAAGAATTACACAAATTGTGTTTTAACAACATTAAAATACACACAGCAATAAGACTAGGGATAAGAAGAGCAATAAGGATAATACGACTAGGGTTGTGGGATATGTTGTAGTACCATGTTAAAGAATGCTAAGGAATGGTGTTGGTAATTGGTGAGGCCCCTATCTCACAAGCTTCAGTCCCAAGCCGGAAACCCTTAAGCTATACAAATACTAAGACCTAGGCTGTCAAGGAATCCACTTCAATTCAATCAAATCAAGATAAGATGACCAACCATATGTTCAAGGTATCTTGCTTAATGAAGGGGTCTCCACTCCAAGCCTAAAGACCAGGGGGATGTGAAGTCGCGGAAGATAGACTTGCCCTTGCCGCCCATGGCCCTGAGCTGCTCTTCGCATATTTCCGGCGAAAAATTCCACGATTTCCGGTCCTCAGCCTCAACGAAACCCTTGCGCCTTGAGGGTTTGGGCTTCAGATGCATAAGCACACACACATGCAAGCTAAACTAAACAGCTTAGATCCTAGTCTCCCGCAGCCCACAACAGTAAGCCTTATGATCGAATTTGCTAAATGTTACGACTTACCTTCCAGAAATCCATTGGGCCAAATTCCACAAATCCTGAGTCGTGCATTCTATGAATCCTACGACTGGCAACCCAATAGTCCGAAGGTGCCCTAAGCCCTGGTATTTGCAAGTCCTGCAACCCCAAACAAAAGCCAACATCAACTCAACACGCTGCGGCGCTCATATCCACCCAAAAGCCCAAGACTCTCTAAGCCCCGAATCCATCAGATACAAATCTGACCTCAGGTGGAGGATGCTTGGGACAGAATTCTAGGTCTAGAGTTTGGGGATCCCTGGTTCAGGGCGCAGGGTTTGGGTCTTTGAAGTGTATCTACAGCTCAGCGCCTTTGCGCGTGCAGGGTCCGTAGGTTTCTTGCCTCTATGCACTCCCTTAGGCTCTATGGGTGTAGGATTTGCGGTGCTGGTTCGCGGTGTTGGAATTCGGGGTGTGGCCTTTAGGTTGTCGACTTCCTCCTCTGCCTGCAGCCCTTCAATCCCAGACCGTGAACTCGAAAGGCCCACTGCATAACCCGATATCTTAGAGGTACATACATCCTAGATAAAAAACCAGAAATATCCTAATTATTCAGGCCCTTGCACCCGTGAATCCCTCGTAGAACGCTCAGAGATCCCTTAAAAAGGAGCCCCTTTAAGGAACCCCTCGTCGAGTCATTCAAGCTCCTCCCCAAAACCGAACAGCGCCCGTTATACTAGAACTATAAAAAAGGAACCCCCCCCCAAAAAAACGTATTGGTAATTATTTAGGCCCCTACGGTAAGTCAAGCATTCGTCCACGCCAGCCGAAGCCGGCCATTGGCAGGATCGAGGTTCACCTTTTGCCTCCTGTGGTTTGAGAGATTTCAGGTGAGAGTTCAGGATTCAGGGTTTGCCTTCAGCGTTGAGGGTTTACTGTTTTGGTTCACCGAGCTTCGTCCGGTTCCCTTAGCGTAGGGTTTCGAGTGGTTCTGAGACCCGGGATCCGGGTTGGAAGAACTTGGGAGATGGGCAGAAATCCAGAGGAATGCGTTGATGTAACTTTAACTTCGGTCATTGTGCGTTTTTGCCCTTCTAAATTTTGGTTCCCTTGTTGCAGGTGTTTCGGCTCTTCTGGGTTCTAGGGTCTGCCTGCGAGCCCACCTCGTGAACGAGATAAGCAGGGCAGAGCTGTTTGGTGGGGTTTCAGTTTGGCAAACGGCACCACCACCAACAACCACCTCCGAAGCCCCCAACTCTCGCCTAAACCGTGTGCCCTAAACCCCTCAATCCACAAGCCTCTAGAACCCCTCGGACCACACCCTCAAACCCTCTACACCCTAAACTCCCTAGATCCTACCTTCCAAACCCTCAACCCCTAAATCC